TGCAGAAAGGATAACTCACAATCCAAAAATGATAATCCCAAGGCAATCTGCCTTACTTTTCGATTAGATAAATTTATAAAGCCATTTCAACCAACTTTTTATTCGAAACGAACAGTCTAAATGATTTTTATTATCAAGTGATTCTTTGTAATCCAGCGCTACTTCACATATAAAAATCAATGCTGTTTTCAGGTGGAATTATTTGTGAAAACTTCAGCTAAATTTGCCTTTTCATGATAATATATTTGTCTCAGGACAAGGAAAATTAATATTTATGATTCATAAATGAAAATAATTATTTAGTGATACATCTTTTGATGCCTCTAAAGCCCACGAGCCCAAAATTGGTCCCGTAGTGATGGCCTCATCTATTTCCTCTTCTGTTAGAACTCCGTCAACATCACAAATGAAGCCGCTGCGAAACAAGGAATCGTAGTCATCAAGTTCTGGAATACAAAATTCAGCCTCTGAGCTGCGATCCACAGCAGATTCTAGACACATATGAGCAAGGGGCACTTTGGATGGAATGGCCTCAAATGCTTGATATTTGAGGGGCATATCCTGTTCTATCTTTAGCTTTTTTGTCTGCATGGCATCTCTAAACTTGTCAGTCCAGTATGCATGACCGTGACCCACCAGCCATTTGTGAAGTAAAATGCGCCAACGTAAGTTCCACTGGATCCACCATGGCTGACAAATTTTGGTGAGATATGCGCGATGCTGTTGCTCGGCAAGACAGGCTAAAGAGACTGAACGTGTGACAAGATGTCCGGCAGGTGATGAGGAACGCTGTTTATCTAACAAGGTTAACTGGCAGAGCAAAGGAGACAATGAAGTAGATGGATCGTTTGAGTCAAGCTTTTGAGCGTTTGCCGATTTGAGATTCTGAAGTTCACTTTCTGGCTGTCGATGCATGATATTCTCCGATGACTCTTCATGGAGCAAGAGATTAGCGTCAGCCTGAGCCCTAGCTATTTGAGTATAAATGGACTCTTCCTGAAGGGCATAAGTAAATATAAGTAGACATAATGGTAGAGGAAAGAAAATAATGAAAGCACGGTAGAATTAGTTTAATTACAGAAATCTGATTTCAAAAATATGTCAAGCCATATTGCCAAGGCTATTAAGAGAGTAAAGAATTCTTTGACCCGAGAAACACGAGGAGCCGCCTAGGGATAAGCAAGAGTAGTCAAATCTAATAAAATGCTGACATTGCCATCTAGTTTAATGTAAAAAAGTTGGATGGACTGGCAGATTGGTAGCTAGATGACCAGCATCTTGAACCCAGAATATGTATCACAGGCCAATGGATATAATAAGATAGAGATAACAATAAATAAAAATGAGATAGTCTAGTTTGTAAATAGGTTTTCGAAATTACCGGAAAATCAGATATATGAAAACGAAAAATGAGTAATATAGTCGATTGTTATAGTAAATGAAGTGTACATCTGACCTGTGACACAAGAGCACTCGTTGCAATGCGGTATAGTGATTAACGCGTCGGGATTATACGCTACACTGTCATGGTTCGAGTTCAGCTAGGGGCGCTGACGAAACCTATGTGAAGTCAAACTGCAGTCCACCCTGGATAAGAATACCTTTTAATAAG